TACTAAATACAAGTACATAGATTGATTGGTTTTCCTTATAATTGTTGTTAAAGTAGGTCCTACATCTCAAATTATCTCTGATTAATACTTTTCCCATTTGTTATGATTTTTCATTATAGAGCATATTTTAAAAGATAACTCCTCTCTATATGTTTTTATATTTTTAATATGTAAATAATAAACCAATCTCCAATTGGGGGGCTAATTTATAACTTATTGTTAAAGTAATGAACCTGGTTCTTTATTTTTATGACTTTCTCTTCTTTTCTCTGGATGTTTGTTAGTTTAAGAGAGGAAGCTATGCATATTGATCTTGTCCTGTGTTTTTTCCAGGTTTCTGTAGAGCAACGTTTTCATTCTGTGTTAGTCCTTTACTGGTTTTCGTCAACTCCAAGAGTGGAGATAATCAGGGAGTCAAGTTCCTTCGACGGTTTAAACAGTTACTAAATCCAGCTCAGGTGTTTGATTTAATGAATGGAGGTCCTTATTTGGGGTAATTGATTATTGATAAGTCTCTTTTAAATGAAACATAGCACTGAGCATGAAATGTGTCTGGCTTTTCAGTTCATGAAAATTGTAGACTCATTTAGACATCTCTGTTTTGATCTTCTCACGCCTCCCTTTTTAAAAATTCTAATTATAAATTTAACACAACCTCTTTGATATTGATATAACTTCCTTGTGTGATACAAATTCCAAAATGTGTTTAGAAAGTGTTTTAGTCATATCTTACATCAATCAAGCACTCAGAGTGTGCTGAGCTCTAAGAAAGATAAATGTGAAAATATAGAAATACAAACTAACTTTAGAAAATGATTTGCATGGAAGACTTGTATTGATTTGTATGTAATACGATCAGTTGTTTAACTAAAGCATGGTTACTATCATGGGTCTCTAGGTAGTTCCTCCAGGATTTCAGACTCACTCCATACAAGTGGCAAAGAAATGCTTTTCTTTATTGTTTCTGCCATCTGGAATGTCATTTAACATAAGATCTGAAAAAATATTAAATAATATTTTCAGTGAAGGAAAATGTGCCTTGAGGCACTGTCAGTACATTTTTAGTGTATGTGTGATTTTGTTGGAGAGCTGATATTGTGTCATTTGAACCAGAGCCCAGCGTTCTCTATGATTTATTTATGCCAACTCTGCTTTTCTCTAGGGTTCCACCGTCACCTTGACGCATGAACATAAAAGTAGAAATGGGGATTTTCAGATTTTTCTGTCTTCCATATTTCTCTCCTTACTCTTTTCTTGTCCCTCTTTTCACTTTTGTTCCTTTTTATTTCCATTGCCTTTTTCTTGCAAAGTTCAGGCCCTCTGGTCACTGGTGTTGGTCTTTCTCATGTGTACCCAACTCCTCCTTTATCTACGTGGACATCCCTCACTTCCCTTTGTTTGGGTCCTGGCATTTCCTCTTCTGGCCTCTCTTCTCACCTTTGTCTCTCCCATTGCTGGTTAGCTCTGTCTCCTTTCTTAGTACATTTGTTTTATAATCCTTTATAGTTCTTATATCTTATATTCTTGACATTAGTTATTCCCACCCAAGGAACTTTCTTTGTTAAACTTCTTGAGGTTATCTCTGTAACATACTTTTTAGATTTCCCACCATACTTGAGCTATGCACAGGTACACTCAGGAGGTGGGGCATGTCAAAAGTCGAGAGGCAGGGAGATAGGAGTAAAAAGATTGACCTGAGACTAGGAGAAGAGGAGGAGAACAACTGACAGGACTACAAAAACTGACACATTGTCAAGGTTTGGGATTTCTTTAGGAACTGCCACTCAATAGCAACAGTGCCCTTGATGCCCACCCCTGGTTTGGAACCTGCTATGCTTGAGGAAGTAACTTAGCCTTGTCATGGGAAGAAAAAATCACTACTTTTACCATCTTATATCACTTATCTTTCATTCTCTTTCCTGGGTTCTGCTTCTTTTTTGTTTTCTTATTTCTTTTTTCCCTTCTAATTTTACTTCCATTTCTACTTATAATCCTCTTCCCTCTTTATGATTAAGAGGTTTTATTGAGTTAAAATTGTACCTAAATTAACTTTATAGTATAATTATTATGTAAGATTTCTTATATTTAATCTGAACATGAACACCAATAAATATAGAATAACACAGAATTAGGGAAAGTGAATTTTTTTATTTATATTAAAATAAAACACTTTTTACTTTCAGTTTAAGATTATTCCAGAAGTTTGACAATTTCCGGATTCTTGTTTGTGGAGGAGATGGAAGTGTAGGTTGGGTTTTGTCAGAAATTGATAAGCTCAACTTGAATAAACAGGCAAGTACTAATTCTTTTCATTGCGAGCTAACATGAATGTGTACTAACCAGCTGACAGAGAAGTGTAGAGCTGTCATAGACCCTATCTCTCCCCTTGTCTGAGGTCTCCCTGTTGTGCTCTCTTCTAGTGTCAGCTTGGCGTGCTGCCTTTGGGAACCGGAAATGACCTGGCCCGGGTTCTGGGCTGGGGTGGTTCATACGATGATGACACTCAACTTCCCCAGATCCTAGAGAAGCTGGAACGAGCCAGCACCAAAATGCTGGACAGGTAAGAGTGAATTATCTCCTCTATCTAGTTTGAAAATGGCATACTGCAATCTTTTTTTTTTTTTTTTTTTTTTTTTTGAGAACTTAAATTTTGCTGACTGTAGGCCCCTTGAGGGCAGAGACTTCCTGGTCCTGTCCACGCTCTCACCCCTGAGGTCTAGAACAGAGCCCAGCAGAGAGTAGACACTCAGTCAATATCTTTTTTGAGTGAGTGAATTGTAGCAAAAACTGAGAAAACTAGTCTAATGAACCCGTTATTTTAGAGATAGAAGGCTCTGTTGATACTAACTACTTTTAATTGCTGTTCAGGTCAGAAGAAAGCTTTAAATGGTTAATTTGGGGAGGGGGCCTTTCAATGATTATCATCTTGTGGTTTCATTAAAGCTGAAAAAGATCTATAAAGTTTGGATTTGTTACAATATCTTTTCTTAATGATGCTTATGAAGAATGAATTAAACCAACAAAGAACTAAATACTAAAAGAAGAGAGATGCATCTGGGAGAACTATCACCCTTTATGGTCCCCTTGGTATCATCTCCTCACTGCTTTCTCTCTAAATGCTCCACATGGAAAGAAGAAATCACAGTGCATGTACCCTGAGCCTTATGGAGGAGGTTTTAGAATTTAGGTATAGGGGACAACAGGACTCAGTGAGCAATAACCTCTCCACCCCCATAAGAAGACAAATGTCAAAATATGAAGGCAGGGGAGGCGGGTAAGAGATCAACCAAAGGACTTGTATGCATGCATATAAGCATAACCAATGGACATAGCTAGTAGGAAAGTGAGGGCATGTGCTGGGGGATGGGAATGGCCAGGGAGAGGCCAATGAGGGGAAAGGAGACATATGTAGTACTTTAAACAATAAAGAATTTAATTTTTAAAAAAGATAAAAGTCAAAATATCATTATAAACTTGAATTTATAATGAATCAAAACAGCTTTGATAGGATTAGCCATTTGTGGAACTCTTCTGGAAAGTAACAAAATCATCAGGGAGGCACCCATCTAAAATATAATTGCTCTCAAATGAGCTATAACCTAATTAATTGTAACCTTGCCTGTCATAAGGTAATATTGAAATGGTTAATTCTTTTACTGACAGAATATTTAAAAAGAGAGTTGGGCCGTAGAGCATTTATTTCTATTTATCCCAAACACTCCATTTAGAAAAATTTTTTCATTAAATTTACAGTTGACATTCAATCTTATATTAGGTAAAGTGTACAATATAGTGGCTAGACATTTATATAACATATAAGGTGAGAGGGATACCCCCATTAGTGTGGGTGCAGAAAGTGGATTTAGCCTTCAGTCTTTAAAGGAGCCTGGAGGTGATTTCTCAGACAGCTACCCAATTCTATGCTCGCCAAACCACACAGGGTATTTTAAAGGGCCTGTTGCAAATTTAAATACCACACTCTCGTTTCATCCTACTCTGTGTGCTTTTCCCTCGTTATAAAAATTAACTTCTCCACATGGTCAGCAGAGAAAGAGTGCCCCCAAGGTGAAATTTCTTGATACACCTGCAAAAACATAGGAAGAAATAAATAAATAAAAATAAAAAGGGATTTAAAAACCTTTTAGATTTTTGTTGTTGTTGTTAATCCTCACCTGAGGATATTTTTCTATTGATTTTTTTTAATTGCTTTTTTAAAGAGTGGAAGGGAGGGAGGGGGTGATAGAGAAAGAGACAGAGGCATGGATTTGAGAGAGACACACCAATTGGTTGCCTCCCACACACACCCTGACCAGCACAAACCTGCAACCCAGGTATGTGCCCTTGACTGGGAATCAAACCCATGACCCTTCAATGCTCGGGCTGACACACTAACCACTGAGACACTGGTCAGGGCTATATTAGATTTTTGAACCTAAAAAAAAATACAATTATTAGAAACATAACATTTTGTTCCTGGCTTTATTAAAAAATATTTTCTAATTGATTTAATTTTTTAAAGTTTATTGGGATGACATCTATATATAAAAGCCTAAGTAACCAAACAACTGAACAACTGGTCATTATGATGCACACTGACCACCAGAGGGCAGACGCTCAACGCAGCTGCAGGTTGGAGATTGCAGCAGAGGGGCAGCGAGCCTACCAAGCGGTGGCGGCGGCAGGTGCAGCGGGGCCTGGATGAGCAGGAACGGCGCAGCGCCTGGCCAGGGCTCGGGCTCCCGGCCTCCCCCTGGCCGCCTGCTGCTCGGTTGTCAGACTGCTGGTTTCTGCCCGATCCCTGCAGGTGGCCTGCGGGAATCTGGCCGAAACCAGCAGTTCAACATCCCCCAAGGGGTCCCGTATTGCGAGAGGGTGCAGGCCAGGCTGAGGGACCCCACCAGTGCATGAATCTGTGCACAGGCCACTAGTTAAGTTGATAAGATCATATAGATTTCAAGTGTACATTTCTGTGATACATGATCTGTATATTGCATTGTGAGCCCACCACCCAAAGTCAAATCATCTTCTGTCACCAAATGGGCAAAGGGGCCAAATATATGGTGACAGAAGATGTTCCTGACTTTTCATTACTACCTTAAGGATACTGTTTATATAAGGACCAGGTGAAAATATTGCTGTTTAATAATATTCCAAATTATCAAAACTTTTTTATATATTATCAATTGATTTAATCCTCAAAACAACATGTGGGATAGCTAATAAGCATTATTGTGACTTTCTTACAAAGATGGAAACAGGTTTGTGGAGACAGAGTAAGAATGGCATATTTTTGTCTGCCTGGTACTTCTTTTTAAAAATATATGTTTTTTATTGATTTTTTTAGAGAGAGGGGAAGCGAGAGGGATAGAGAAACATTGATGAGAGGGAAACATGTTCAATAAGCTACCTCCTGCACACTCTCCATAGGAGATCAAGCCCGAAACCAGGGCATGTGTCCTGACTGGGAATAGAACCCGTGGCATGACTGGTTGTGACATGGAGAATGATTTTTTTTTATAGGTAGTGTACATTTATTTAATCTAGGATGGTGTTTTAGAACTTTGGGTTGTGATCCATTAGTAAGTTGTATAATCTAGTTATTAAATTACAGTGAGCATTCTTTTAAAAGTGAAACAGATAAGAATAGAAAAGTTAGAATGCATTGCATCTGGTGAAGAAGGGGAATTATTAGACATGTGCATTTCTTACTTTGGGTCATGGCCTTAAAATGTTTGGAAGTTATAAATACACAGAGAATTGATAGGATAGGGAAATCATAACTTATGAATTCAGCATTTTGTGAAATTACCAAAATTTCATCTCTTTTCCCATATTTGGTTGTTTTATTTTTCAAGTGCTGTTTATATTCAATCACATTTGGTTGTTTTAAAATACAATAAACCATAGTTCATATATGTGCCTGTTTTTGTATATCAAGTGAGATATAGCCAGTTTATTAAATTTTAAGGGCATTTTAGACCAAAGATTTTTCTCCCTTCAGGTGGAGTATAATGACCTATGAACTCAAATTGCCACCAAAGGCTTCTCTACTTCCAGGACCTCCAGAAGCACCTGAAGAATTTTATGTAAGACTTTAACCCTTTACCTATTTATTATATGAAAATGGGGGTGAATATCTTGAACAAATAAGAAAGCTGATAAGATATGGTAGCATATTTACTTAATTTTATGTTTTATTGTTTGGTGTCTGGTCTTATTGTCTTCTTACAGTCCTCTCCCAAGAGGATGGATCCTTATGATCTAGGTTAGAGACCTTGCATGAACACCCACACCGGGAGTGTGAATTTAGCCATATCACTCACCTTCATGGGCCTCTGTGACTTCCTCTGTAGAGTGAGACTACCATGTTGTGAAGATTAAATGAGATAATGAGTGTGTGAAAACACCCCTCATAGCTCTCCCCAAACATTCCACCTGCCTCCTGCCTCTGACCAACAGGGCTCCAGGGAAGGTCAGATGATGACAGGTTCCTATTGGCTTTTATTCATCTGCTGCTTCAGCCATGAACACCTGTGTGATCAATAGGGTTAGCCCTGCTCCCATAAACAATCTCCAAACACACCAATACTCGTGGCTACAATACTGTATGCACCTTTTTTGAGGGTGCATCAGAACAGGTCTACAGGTTAAGCCTGTTGATCAAGATAAAACAAAGGAAGAAAAACAGTGTACTTTATTCCATCCCTGCTACGGACCATAAATAATACAGTTTTTAGATGTTCTTAAAGATTCAGCATTCTGATTAAATCTCAAAGCCCTGAAGACTTACAACAAAACCAGATTTTTAAAGGATTATTCTCTGACTCACTAAGACCATTTGATCTATGATAGCTTATTTTCCCCTCGAGGAAAATTCATCTGTTTTATTTTACAGTTGAAATCTTTGTTTTGTCATTAAGAAAATTATGATCTTGTCAAAACTAAGGAAAGGAATGGAAACTAGAAACATGGAGCTCTTCCTTAAGGAAACTAATTGAATTTTGAAAAACTTTTTCTGATATAAGGTAGCAAAAACTGCTTATAAAAATTTTGAAAATTTAGAGGAACCAAGATGGCAGTATAGGTAAATGCTGGTACTTGCATCTTCCCACAACCACATCAGAATTACAACTAAAGTATAGAACCACCTAAAATCTTGCTGAACAGAAGTCCTACAACTAGAGATTCAAAAAGAAGCCACATTGAGACTGGTAGGAGGTACAGGAGAGGCACGGAATGGGCTAGTCTGACACCCATGTGTGGCATGTTTTTAATTGTGTGGGATATCCCATGCGGAGCAAGGAGTACCAGCCCCACACCAGGACCCTCAGCCTAGGGTTCCAGTGCCTGGAAGGCTTCTAGAGTCCCAGGCAGTTCCTCTTAAAGGGCCTGCCAGTGGACTTACTCTGACTCACTCCCTCTGAGCTATAGCACTGGGGCAGCAGGTTTACAGGATCCAGGGACATATGGAGAGGAACTAAATTGTCTGGCATCAGTGCAAGAACTCAGGAGCAGCCTTCTCCCAGACAAAAGAGTTGGGACCCACCCCCTCCCCCCAGACACACACACACACACACACCTGACTGGCAGGAACCATATCTGAGTCACCATCAACCTGGGCCACACTGTCTGCCTCACCCTGAAGATTCCCTGAGACCATGCTCCACTCAATTTGCAGCCCCATCCAAACTCTTTGCAATTTATTTTTTATATGAATGGCCTGTCCTGGCTCAGGCTTCAGACTTTACTAAAATCTCACAAACAAACTGCAGCTGGACTCAGTGTTCCCGTACCTCGGTAAGTGGCCCCAGGCCTGACACTAGCAGCAACTTGCCAAGATTAACAGCTTGGCCTCTCCTGGGCACTTTCTAAGCCCGACAAAAGTAGCAGCCATCTTCAGATTGCTCTGTAGCTCATGCTGGATGGCCCTAGCCAGGGCATAGGCAGTGGCTGACTTTGCACCTCTTGGGAGACCCCAGAACCAATGCAACTGGTGTACAGCTTCAGACCACACCAGATTACCCTCTACCACATCCATGAGTGATACACTTAAGGGGCGGACTTGGTGAGCACCAAAGTCCCACTGAAGCAAGTCCAGCTCCATGGGGTTATCCCCTGCATAGCAGCTCTTCCACTGTAGTTGCAGCTGGTCCTCACAGCCAATTAGCCTGGGGGTCAATTCCTCCAGTGATACCAACAGCAACCAAGGCTCAACTATAACAGGACAGTACACATAGCCCACACAGGAGTGCACCTAAAGGGGTGTAACTATAACACAGGGGTGGGCAACCTTTTTGTGAGTGCATGGCAAAACCAGCAAAATCTCTGACTCAAAATTCTTCTGCATGCCAACCCTAATTTTTTGAGAACATGTTATGCCTAATTGATATCTCTTAAGGTGTATGTATGTGAAGAACCTTGAAGAAATAATAAAATTCATTCGAGCAACAAAAACACAGTATATGATGATGAAAAATACATTAATAGAAACAAACACAGGGAAGCAGCCAAAATGAGGAGACAAAGAAACATGTGACAAATGAAAGAACAGAAGAAATCTGCAGATAAAGAGCTAAATGAAATGGAAGCAAGCAAACTACTAGATAGAGTTCAAAACAATGGTTATAAGGATGCTCAAGGAACTTAATGAGAGCTTCAAGAAACTTATTGAAAATATCAAAGACATGAAAAAGGACCAGTCAGAAATGAAGGATACACTAACTGAAATGAAGAATAATTTACCGGGAATCAGTAGTAGAGTAGAGGATGTCAAGAATCTAATTAGCTATTTGAAATATGAAGAAGCAAAAAACATCCAATCAGAAGAGCGAGAAGAAAAGAAAATCCAAAAATACATACAGAGTGTAAGGAACCTCTGGTACAACTTTAATTGTACCAACATTCACATCATGGGAGTGCAGGAAGGAGAAGAGAGGGAGTAAGAAATTAAGAATGTATTTGAAGAAATAATGACAGTAAACATCCCTTACCTAGTGAAAGAAATAGACTTACAAGTCCAGGAAGGACAGAGTCCCAAATAAGAGACCCACACCAAGACACATCATAATTAAAATGCCAAAGGCTAATGACATAGAATCATAAGAGGAGCAAGAGAAAAACAATTAATTACCTATGAGTGCCCATACAGCTGTCAACTGATTTCTCAACAGAAACTTTGCAGGCCAGAAGAGAGTGGCAAGAAATATTCAAAGTGATGCAAGCAAGGACCTACAACCAAGATTACTCTACCCAGCAAAGCTATCATTTAGATTTGAAGGTTAGATAAAGAGCTTCCCAGACAAGAAAAAGCTAAAGGAGTTCATGACCACCAAAACAGTATTACATGAAATGTTAAAGGGTTTTGAAGGAGGAGGAGGGGAAGGAGGAGCAAGAGGAGGAGGAAGAGGAAGAGGAAGAGGATGAGGAAGAGGAAGAAGGAGAAGAAGAAGGAGAAGGAAAGATGAACAATAAAATGGCAATAAATACATATCTATCAACAATTAAATCTAAAAAAATAAACGAATAAGGAATCAAACAAACAAAACTGATGAATAGAACCAGAGCCATGGAAACATGGAACAAACTGACAAATCTCAGAGGGAAGGTGGGGGGTGGGAAGAAGTTAGCCAAAGAACTTACATGCATATATGCATTACCCATGGACACAGACAATAGGGTAGTGAAGGCCTAGGGTGGGCAGGATCTGGGTGAAGGAGGTCATTGCGGGGGCCAAGGGTGGCGGGGGGGAGGGAGATATCTGTAATACTATCAACAATAAAGATGAAATAAATTAATTAAAATTTTCAAAAATATAATAATATATAAAAAAGAAAATACAAATCTTATAATTCTACTACCCAGAGATAATTACTACTAGAGATTAATATATTGCCTGGCTGGTGTGGCTCATCAGTTGATTGAGTTCTAAGAGGTAGCAAGTTCACTTTTCAGTCAGGACACATGCCCAGGTTGTGGGCTCCATCCTGGTAAGGGGCATGCAGGAGGCAGTCAATTGATGATATTCGTCTCTCATCGATGTTTCTCTCTATCACTCTCTCTCTCAAAAAAAAATCAAAACATATTTTTAAAAAGAATAATATATTTATTATTTTATTTCCAGCAGCATTTTTATTTATAATATATTACTAGTGACCCAGTGCAAGGATTCATGCACATTGAAAGGAAATTAATTAGAAGAAAGATCTGTGCAGTTACATCACTGAAAAAATTACATGTCAAAATAGTATACTAGTATATAATATAGTATTATAAAATTAAAACATGCATGCAATTGGTGCCAGTGAGAGCTTTATATGTATCGCACATGCATGAGTCAACGTTTATTTTTAAATTGCCAATGCATGTCATATGTACTAGCAATGAATAAATCACAATGTGGTTCACGGTTGAATGTCAACCAAAACAACCAAATTCAAAAACAACAATGTGATTGGTGCCAGCAAGAGCTTTATATGTATTGTGCCTGTGGGAGTCAACACTTTTTTTTTCTTTTTTTTTCTTTTTAAAAAATGCTTATTTTTAAATTGCCAGTACGTGTCATACACACTGGCCGGTCAGACGGACATAAGGTTTGTCACTTAGCCATACACACACACACACACACACACACACACACACACACACACACACACATACACATATATACTAGAGGCCTAGTGCACAAAATTCATGCATGGGGTCGGGGGGTGTCCCTCAACCCAGCCTGTATCCTCTCCAATCTGGGACCCCTTGGGGGATGTCCTACTGCCGGATGTCCCCACAGGGATTGGGCCTAAACCGACAGTTAGACATTCCCCTCACAATCCGGGACTGCTGGCTCCCAACCACTTACCTGCCTGCCTGCCTGATTGCCCCTAACCACTCCCCTGCCAGTCTGAGAGACACCTACCACTCCCTTGCTGGCCTGATCACCCCCAACTGCCCTCCCCTGCAGTCCTGGTTGCCCCCAACTGCTCTCCCCTGCCGGTCTGGTCGCCCCCAACTGCCCTTCCCTGCTAGCCACCTTGTGGCTGTGGGTGCTGTCATCTTTGAGGGATCGTAGTCAATTAGCATATTCCCTCCTTAT